AAAGAAAGGGCGCATCTGGTTTTCAGAAAACCTGGGGCAGAGGAAAAACCAACTGGCATCTGGCGTTAAACTATGAGGGCAACTCTGCTTCAGCGGTTATCTGACGTCGTTATCTGATTTCAGCGGTTTCTGTGCACATGGTTATCTTCTCTGGCACCCATGATTGAGGGAAGTCACTCTGCTTCAGCAGTTATAACAAGGGGTTAAAACAAAAAGTAGCCACCTTAAGACTGTTATTATTATATATCGCCAAACAGAGCTGCCGACGGTAAAGCGTACGCGGAGAGGGACAAAAGGGAGAAGAGGACAACAAACGAGGAGGGGGCTGTGACAAACTGTTTCATCAGAGTGTCTCCGACTCATCAGGGGAGTTACAGGAGGCTATATACTTCGCTGTATCTTCTTGGCCAAGGTCAGGCCACATAATTTTCAGAGAATAGTAGGATGGCCAATGTTTTGCCTGCATAACTGTTCAACTCGAAGGGTTTTTTCATGGGGTAACCGCTTGAGCCCTGCTTCAAGGGGTTACTTTTGGGGGGGCTTAGCCCACCGGCCCCTTGCTATTATCTGCCCCGTTTGAATCCCTCCACCTTGTTCTCCCTTTTGGCCCTGGGTCAATCTTTCCTTAACCTTTTTTTTTTTTCCACCTCCCCTTCCTTCTTACTTCCCACACTTTCCTACTCCCCTAACCTTCTGCTTTCTTCTTTTTCTTTTTTTTTTAATAAAAGAGAAATCCCAGGTTGTTGTCGAGGCCAGGTTCCAAGCTGACTTATGGTGGTTAGTACTGGTTACTTGTCATCGGAGCACCATGTCGTCAGTTATCCCGACGATTTTTTACGATACTGCCACACCCTATCTCCCAAGTCCACTCACTTCTAATTTTCCGTCCCTCGCTCCTTCGTTTGCCCTCCTGTTCGTCCGTCCGGTCCCCTCTTGCTACTAGCTCATGCCATTGACCCCTCTTTTCTATCCTTTGCTCCTGCATGGCCAGCACTCACACATCACCCATTTATTGCATTTATTGCTTTTTCTAATCCATTTATTATCGAGTAATCAAGGTACACCTCCCTTCAAGGTGTTTGGCATGGTTGGTCATGCTCGGTCGTTCAGCTTCCCACTGCTCGGCGGTTCATCAACTTCAGGAGTACCGTAACGCTCTGCTCAGATAGGCTTCTGAAGTAAGGCGTTGCGAGAGGGCCGGCAATTCATTCCATAGCCTCAGGCTATCTGAGTCCGGGTCGTTTGAGTAACTTCTCTGGTCGACCAGGGGGGGGTTGGTCCCCTGCAGGGCTCAGGCCCTGTAAGGTGAAACAGGGTAATGCTCCAGATGGGTACATTCTGCATAGACTGTGAGGAGCCCGTCCCCCCGATCATTTTATGCAATGAATGGACTATATAGCTAGGCTACCAGAGTGGCCCGGGCTAACTTGCCCGGCGGGGCCAAAAACATTTAAAAAAAAAAAAAACATTATTTTTAAAATGTATTTTTTATTTCGAATTTGTGAAGAATTTCGATGTGACCCTGAGGCAAAAGTTGTTCAGTTTATTTTTCTGCATAACATAGTTTTCTTTTGGATTTGTTTTGTTTTTTTTGGTTTTGTTTTTTTGTTTTTCTGGGACCTTCCCTGGTCCTTGCACTGGCTGGCCACCCGGGACCCAGGCGGCCCGGCTGGTAGCCTAGGACTATATAGTATATTGTCAGGAAAAAAAAAAAAAAAAAAAAAAAAAAAAAAAAAAAAAAAAAAAAAATCTCTGTATCTTTCCAATTTCAATCGATTGTCCCTGAAGGCACATTTTTCATTGATTTCTTTTTTTTTTCCGGCAAGGCAGGACCAGTTATTTCTGTCTAATAGGCCAAGCCCTGAAACATGCAGTGTCAGAAGAAAATGGCTGCCAAATGTACTGGTGGTTTAATGAAGTCTGGGGTTCTTTTTTTTTTTTTTTTTTTTTTCAAGTCAAAGGTGTCTTGGTCAGAGTGGATGTACTGATGACGAAGTCAGCTGGGGTAAGTCAAAGGTCTCTTTATGATGTGAATTTTTCCAATACGACATCCCGCCAAGCGGGTTTGCTGCTGTTGTCCACTCTGTGTGACTGTGTACTCACTTGTGTGCGTGCATGCTTTTTGCCCTTGCCCTGGGGTAAGTCAAAGGTCTCTTCTTTTTTTTTTTGAAGTCAAATGAAAGAGTTTCCACAATTCAGACCCCAAGTTCAAAAGGGCCTCAGTTGGCCTGATCCTGGAGTTCCGAATCAGCATTTCAAAAGACGAGTTCTTCAGAGTCGGCTTTCACGTCCAAACTAAAATGAAAAAGTCATTTTGCAAAAGTCACATCCAGGTCCTAAACGAACAGTCAAATTTGAGGCTGAGCAAGGGTCACATCGGTTCAGCAGATAGTCGAAAGTCGCAGGCCCAGTCCAGTCCACACAAATATTTTTATGACTTATAAGCTGTCCTGCTGTAAAAATAGTAGAGCAAAAATTCATACGTACAAGAAGAATGTCCAATCTTTTCTCCATTAATAATAACAAACTCTTTTGTTTGTCTAAATAAGTATACGTTTTTTTTGCTACTTTCCAGAGGTCGTCTCTGGAGTCAGACCAGAAGTCCAAAAGGCAGGCCCGAAGGCCAAAGCAGCACCAGCAGACCATGGGAAAGGTACTGGGAACTCACACCTCGCAACAAACAGGCAGTGGGCATGCGGTACCAGGCAATTCGGCCAGAGGCTAGCCCAGCCAGACCAGTCAAACACTACAAAAGATTGGACAGCCTTCTAGTTAGGCACAGAAGCTCATTCCTATGAGAGTGTGGAAGTGCTTGGGCACTTGTGGGCTAGTGTGGGAGAGGTGTGCTACACCAGAGAGCTGCGCAAGTGAGCTGAGAGAGAGGCAGTAGGCGCGGGCAGGGAAGAAGGCAGCCATAGCTGCACCAGCGCCAGTTAGGTAGTAGAGTTGGAATGCTATAGTAAAAGTAGATGAGCGAGATGTTTTCAGAATTGATCGTCATGGGTGACCTGTGGTAGGGAGTGTGGATGTGTGTGAAGAGAAAAGACTAGCGTCTTCCCCCGAACACAACGCACCCTCATTTTGGCTGTATCTGGCCAGAAATATAACTTGTATGCATTCGTTTTAAGGGTGCCTTATGTTCGGCGGGAAGATGGTAGTGTAGAGTTCAGACCGGGGACACTAAGACAAGCGAGAGACAGGAGGAGGTAGAGAAAGCTATGGTGGAGACTTGCCTTGTCGGGCGCTGATATTGATACTGAGTGCAAGTGCTGAAGTGCGCTGGGTTCGGACTCTTGCTGTTCGAAGAAGACTCGTAATCTTGTTGAGCACTGGACAATTGAACTCCTGATTCTCTCTCAATATAATGTGGTTGTGAAGTTTGAGCTTCGCTTAAACCACCAGTACTTGGCCCATATATCGGCCGCGGGCCTTAGCGTTAACGCTACGCGAAGTTCGCGCTTCGGGCAACCGGACCTGGAAGGCTGGCGCCGCCAGCCTTTCTGAAAACCAAAATTGAATTGGCGTTTCGGCGGGAAACGGCGCGCAGGGCACTTCCAGGCTCGGCTGCGATAGCTGGGCCAAGTACTGGTGGTTTAACAAGACTCGAACTCCTGATTCTCTCAATATAATGTGGTTGGGAAGTTTGAGCTTCGCTTCCTGGTCTACTACTCGTCATCTACCTGTGCAATATGTGACAAACACAATCTGTGAGACAATGCATGCTGATGTGAGCACTCCTTGGTGTGATGAACTTTGAGGTTCATTGCACAAACTTCAAGGTGTCTTGGTCAGAGTGGACGTACTGATGACGAAGTCCGCTGGGGTAAGTCAAAGGCTCAAAGGT